TTATTATATATATATATATATATATATATATATATATATATATATATTTTTTTAAAAAAATTCATTAAATTGTATGATTAATTCGTTGTTAGGTAATGACGTAAAATTTTATGTAATTAATGATCCATTTGATGTACTAATCATCTTGCTATCTTATTTTTTCTCTCTCAATCTTCTTCTAATCATTTATTAATATTTTTTATTAATAAAGTTATCAAATTGACGAATTCTATATTCTGTCTTTTTAATCTTTTTTCAATCTGAGATTTAATTAGTATTTTTATATTTTTGCTTCACAACTAATTTATATTCTAATTATATATACACACACTTGTTTTACCTACATTATCTAAAGAAAAGTGAAATGAATTAACTATATATATTAGCAATTGAGAAGGAAGGACATAAAAAGAATACTTTGCATAAATAGTATATATATACATAAGGATCAGGGGGCATAAGTTCTCTTCTTAATTTTTTAAAAAAAGTTTTGTATTAAAATTTGACTTTAAGATTATTAAATTTGTTGAGCCGCTCTCTCTTTGATCATGTCATTCTAGAAATCCGCGAGCCTACTTCTTCGCTGATCCTGCATGTTTTTCCACATTGTATTAAAGATTTATAAGCTGCTCAAAATCAGTTGATTTTGCCAAAAATATATAATGTAATAGTAGCATAACACTTGCCTTTACTACTACTTCTAGTGGTGCTGCTGATGTCTTTACTCTGTCTATACTTCTGAAAAAATAGAACGAACTCAAATATATATTAGTATGTAAGTGTTTGAATAATTTCATATAACAAATAACAAAATGCAAGTGTTGAAACTTTTAAATTTGCATCACATGATAGGATTTGAGAAGAGCTAGGATGTGGCAGAGTTGGGAATTCAAAAATAAAAAATGTATGCATCTTATATATACTTGGTTTTTTACAAAAAGAATGATTATCTTTAATTTCAAATCTATTTTGAAAAGAGTGATTTTTACATTTATAATATTCTATTTAAATGTCACAAAAGTAAAAGACATTTTGATATATTTTAATTCTATAAAATTAAAAATTCTTATTTATTTTTATAAACTTCATATTATTGACCCCGAAGGGGGAGAGAGGGAGGAGGGAGTATTTTTTCAAGTCAGTTCAAATAGTTGGAAGATTAAAAAAATTTATATAATTATATTTCTCACAGAGTCAGAACTCAAATAATGGTATTCTAAAAAAATTTGTAGAAATTGGTTAAATAGTTCCTTATGTAATTAGTTAATTAATTAAGTTGATTAGTAGAAAGGTTAGTTAGCTAGTAGGGTCCACAAGGTTGTTAGTTAGTAGTACATATTAATATTGTGTAGATTGTTTATATAGTATAGTTCATAGTAAATAAAAAGTTACAGTTTTCGTATCAAATCAATAAGATCTTTCTCTTCTTTCTTCTTCTTTAGCTCATTCTTAGATTACATTCTCTTTATGGTATCAGAGCAGTGAATCGAGTTCGATTCAATTGTGTGAAGTAAGATCATGTATTTCTGCTATTGAAAACTTATGGTGGAAGCAGAAGTAATGGTGAACAACGGAGAATCAATTACTGCAACTGCAATCAGAACAGAGACGCTAGACGAAATCGAGGAAAAACGCAATCATCCCCTGTATTTTCATCCTTCAGACACTCCTGGATGTGTTCTTACCATAGTGCAGCTCACATGAACAGAAAATTACTCTATATGGAGCAGATTCATGCTAATCAATCTTCAAGCTAAGAGCAAGTTAGGGTTTCTATTGGGAACATGTAAACGTAGTGATTATCAACTGGAATTGGAAGAGCAGTGGGAAAAATGCAATTGTTTTGTACTTGTCTGGATTATGAATACAGTCTCCAAGGAATTACTTAGTGGGATTATGTATGCAGATGATGCAACAATTGTATGGAAGGATCTTAAAGAGCGATTTGACAAAATCGATAGATCAAGGATCTATCAACTTCACACAGAGATCTGTACAATTCATCAAGGCAATTCAACTGTTTCCAACTATTTTACAAAATCGAGATTACTATGGGATGAGTTTGATACATTTGTCCCTCCACCATCATGTAACTGTGATAAATCAAGGACATATGTAGATCACACAGCATACTTGAGGTTATTTGCATTTCTCATGGGAGTGAATGAAGTATATAGTCAAGCGAGAAGTTAGATTTTAATGATGAATCCACTGCCAAGTGTGAGCAAAGCTTATGCTATGATAATGGTAGATGAAAGTCAGCGTAAAACTGCAGGTACTCATTCTAGTAGAGAATCATTAGATTCAGTAGCCTTATATGCAGGAAAAGGACCCTATCAAAGAGACATAAGTTCAGCAGAAGAAGAAGAATTGAGATCAATTTTGTGATTATTGCAAGTTACAGGGACATGTTAAATTGAATTGTTACAAATTGAATGGATATCCACCCGATTAGAAGTTTAAGAAGAAGAATGGATCAGGAGTTGATCAGGGAGAAATTAGTCAGATGCAGGGATCACAGATCAATGACAAACCTCTAGCTAACCAAGTTAGATATGAGAAGGATTCTGATGTATCTGGTTCAAGAGCCTTGGGTAATGCAAGATATGAGCAGGATCCTAATAATAATGCATCTGGATCAGGAGTCTGGGGAACTCATCCTAATTTCACTCAAAGGCAATACCAAAGAATTATGCATATGTTGGAGAAAGAAGAAGGACAAGCAACTGATAACACTGTGGCAAATGTAGCTATGGCAGGTATGAGTTCAATTACTCAAATTTTTTCTATGAATGATGAAAAAGAAGCTGGATAATTGACTCAGGAGCTACGTGTCACATGACTTCTAAGCTAGAAAGATTAACTCATAGTAAAAATTACATAGGTAGAAAAGTATATCTACCAAATGAAGAGACTAGTACAGTAACACATACTGGGGGTTGTGACATAAACACTGGTGAAACACTAAAAATGTCTTGGTGCTTCCAGACTTTAATTGTGATCTACTCTCTGTATCTCAAATAACCAAACAATTAAATTGCTCAGTAAATTTTTTCCTTGAGTTTGTTATTTTTCAGGACCTCTTAAATGGGAGGGTGAAGGGGATTAGTAAGGAATTGGATGGATTGTATTACTTTTTAGATCAACCAACACATCGAGAAAACACAGCAAATGAGATGTTACTGATTGCACAAGATGGAAAACTTTGAAACAATTGTCATTATCTTCAATTGATTTAGATGATGCTTGTAATAAATGTCCTGTGTGTCCATTAGCAAAACAAACCAGATTTCCTTTCAGCTTAAGCTCTTCTAGAAGTGCTTCTATTTTTTATTTGATTCACTTAGATGTTTGGGGACCATACTAAGTGATGACTCACAATGGTTATAGGTTCTTCTTGACAATTGTTGATGATAATTCTCGAATGACATGTGTATATTTGCTTAAGTTGAAAAGTGATGTGTTTCAGATCTTACAATTATTTTTTTCATTGGTTCAAACTCAATTTAAGAAACAAGTAAAAAGGGTCCGATCTGATAATGGAACTGAATTTTTTAACAAAGAATGCAGTTAATTGTTTAGTAAACAAGGGATAGTTCATGAAAGTAGTTGTCCATACACTCCACAACAAAATGGAGTGGCAGAGAGGAAACATTGACATGTTCTTGAAGTATCTAGAGCACTCAGATTTCATGGACACATTCCTCTTAGGTTCTGGGGAGAATGTGTTTTTGCAGTTGTGTATTTGATATTTAGATTGCCAACAACAATACTGAAGGGAAAGATACCTTATGAAGTTTTTCATAAGGTGAAAGCTAAGCTAAATCATTTGAAGATCTTAGGTTGTTTGTGTTTTGCAACAAGATTGCCTAAAGTTGACAAATTTTCCCCAAGAGCAGATGCTTGTATTTTCTTGGGCTATGCAACTGCTCAGAAAGGATACATATTATATAATTTGAGTCAGAAAAGGATGTTGGTTAGTCGAGATGTTGTCTTTAAGGAAGGTATATTTCCTTATGAACAGATCAGTAACAAGCAGTTACCCCTATTTCCAATTAATGATCAGACACTTCATGAGGATGAGTTCCATGAAACAACTCATCAGTTCCCACATAAGGAGATATTGCCTAATATCTTACAGGACATGAACATAGTTGAAGGGAATGATCAGGTTGATCACAATGTTGCAGCAGAAGGAAGGAATTCAGTTGAAGGAAATGATCGTGTTGATCATAATATTAATGCAGAAGGAGTCAATGCAGAAGGACGGATTAGACAGTCACTTTGAATATCACATCCACCTATATGGATGAAGGACTAGGTGAAGCAAGTATCAGATTCGAACCAGCTTTATACTATTGGAAATTATGTCTCATATCATCATATTTCTCCATCTCATGCTACATATTTGTCCAAATTTTCCACAGAGGTTGAACCAAGGCGCTATGAAGATGCAATTAAGGATCAAAGGTGGGTGGATGCAATGAAAGTAGAAATCAAGGCACTAGAGGATAATGGGACTTGGAATTTAGTAAACATGCCAACACACAAGCATGTTATTGGATGTAAATGGTTTTTTAAGATCAAGTATCAAGATGATGGGCAGATTGACAGATTTAAGGCACGACTGGTAGCTAAAGGATATAATCAGACTGAGGGAATTGATTATCAAGAGACATTTTCACCAGTGCTGAAGATGGTTACAGTTAGATCTATAATCTCATTAGCTGCTGCTGAACATTGGATTATTTACCAAATGGATGTTTACAACGCTTTCTTACAAGGTGATATGTTTGAAGAAGTGTGTATGGAATTGCGTAAAGGATTTCAACCACAGAGGAAGAATGTTGTTTGCAAGTTGATTAAGTCTATTTATGAACTCAAACAAGCTTCTAGACAATGGAATGAAAAGCTCACAACTGCACTTTGTGATTCTGAATATACTCAGAGTCATCTAGATTACTCCTTATATACTTAAAGGAGAGGATCTAAGCTGGTTATTATTTTAGTATATCTAGATGACCTGTTATAACAGAAAATGCTGTTAAATTGATAGAAGAGACCAAATATATATTACATAGTCACTTCAAGATCAAAGACTTAGGAGAGCTTAAGTATTTCTTGGGCATTGAATTTCTTAGATCAAATAAAGGGATAATGATGAATCAAAGAAAATATTCCCTTGAGTTGATATCTGAGGTAGGATTAGCAGCTGCTAAACCAGCTCTACACCACTAGAATGTGACATGAAGATGACTAGTGTGGAGTATGACCAAAGTGTTGATTTACATAATGATTTGTTAGAAGATGTAAACAAAAATCATAGACTGATTGGCAAGTTATTATACCTTACTAACACAAGGCCATATATAACATTTGCAGTACAATCTTTGAGTCAGTTTATGCAGCAACCAAAGGTTTCACATTGGGATGCAGCTTTAAGAGTAGTAAGATATATTAAAGGTGATCCAGGTAAGGGGCTATTGTTAAGTTCAAATCAGAAGCCCCAGCTTACAGGGTTCTGTGATGCAGACTGGGCAGCTTGTCCAAATACAAAAAGAACTGTTACTGGTTCTATTTTGAAGTTTGGTGATTACTTGATCTCATGGAAGTCTAAAAAATAAAATACAATTTCCAGAAGTTCTGCAGAGGCAGAGTATAGAAATCTAGCATCATTGACTATAGAGATAGTTTGGGTTACAAATTTGTTTCAAGAATTGGGGGTTAAATTGTTATGA